GGTCGATGGTGATATCGATAATGAGGCCGATTGTTGTAAGTACGATTGTGAGATAGATTGTGAGATCGATCGGGTGGGACGGATAGTGAGATCAACACTTAGATCGATAGGGAGATCGATCGTGAGATCAATCGTGGCGACACTAGTGATATCGATAGTGATATCGATGGTAAGATCTATCGAATTGGAGACCGATAGATACATCGATCGTCAGGTCGATCGTGAGATCGATAGTCAGACCGCTCGAGTGAGATCAATTCTGAGATCACCAGTGGGATCGGAAGTGAGATCGGTAATGATATCGGCAGTGAGATCAATTGTTCGAATATTGAAATACGTGGTGAGGTCGATTGTGATATCGACAATGATATTTAGATTGAGACCGACCGAGTGAGATTGATTGCGAGATCGGTCGTAGGGTCGATAATGAAATCGGTCCTGAGAACGATGGCGAGTGCGATTGCGAGATCGATGGTGGGACCGAAAATGAGAGGGGCATTATGATCGATTGTAAGATCGATAATGAGATCGATAGTGGGATCGACAATGGGATCGATTGTTCGATCGATTACGTGAGACGTTTCTCCCTGTCCCGGAACACCCTTATCACCCGAAGGTTGTTCGCATAGGTGTGTATATGTATATAGATATACACATACATATACATATATATACATCTACATCTACATCTACATCTACATCTACATCTACATCTACATCTACATCTACATCTACATCTACATCTACATCTACATCTACATCTACATATCGGAGGATGGGTGAGATCGCAAAGAAACGGAGACCCCCCCCGGGAAATCGGTTTCGGTTTCGTGTTCGTGTCGTGCGTGCGGGCGAGACGAAGTTGCGCGTGATCCTCCTGTAGCTAGGCCGAAGTAGGAGCGAAAATTTGTTCCCAACCGCCGGTGGCTGGGAGGTGTCCCAGTTGGGCCGGGCGGTGTCCCTTGTGTCCCGGGTGTCAGTAGGAGCGAAAGCCCGTTTCCCGTCCGCCGGTGGCCGGGAGGTGTCCCAGTTGGGCCGGGCGGTGTCCCGGGTGTCCGTGGTGACTCAAGTGGGGCGCGAAGAACATGTATGAGTCATCGTTGCCACCGCCATCGCTGCTGTCAGCGACGCCGCACCCATGACCCATCGTCACTGCCATCATTGTGGTGGAAGGGGAGACTGATAGAGACAGAGAGAGGGAGAGCGATAGAGAGAGAGAGAGAGACAGAGATTACCTAGTATGCGATGGCTGTCTCGTGGTTGTCTTGTGATTGTCCTGATGGTTGTCTGGTGGTTGTGCCGATGGTTGTCCTGTTGTTGTCCGACAACAAATCGTTGTTCGGTGCCTGAGGCGGGCTTTCTCTTTTTGCTTTTGAGGTCGATAGTGAGATCGACAGTGAGATTCACCGATAGGTCGGTCGACGGATAGGTAGATAGTGGGATCTCATCGTCATCGCGATCATCATTGTGGTGGAGAGAGACTCTGATAGAGAGGGAGAGAGAGAGAGGGCGAGAGAGAGAGAGACAGAGAGAGAGAGAGAGAAAAAAAACAGAGAGATGAGATCAAGAAGACAGGCTGGAGGTCAGTCAGTGTGGGCATTTGATCTCAATCCCCCCCAACCTCCTTATCGCCCGCAGGGCGGTCGTATAGGTACGTATACGTATATTCATGTATCGGAGATGAGGGGGGAGCTCGCAAGAAAACAGAGAGCCCCCAGCCGGGATATCAGTTTCGGTTTCGTGTCCGTGTCGTGCGTGAGCGAGGCGAAGCTGTGTGGGCGGGCGAGAGAAATGAACCCTCCTCTGGCTAAAGCACCGCCAGGCAAAAAAAAACGCCCCCCACCGCGTTGTCGGGCGGTGGCTGGGGGTGGTCCGCGGGTGTCCCGCCGGTGTCCCGTCGGTGTCCCGTCGGGTCCCGTCGGTATCCAGTAGTGAGATCGACAGGTAGATCGATAGTAAGCTCGATAGTGAGATAGATCGAGAAATCGACAATGAGATCAAAAGTGAGATCGAAAGTAAGATCGAGAGTGAGATCGACAGAGAGATCGATAGTGAGATCGATAGTGAGATCGATTGTGAGGTCGATGGTGAGACCGATTTTGAGATCCATAGTGGGATCGATAATGGGAGGGGTAGTGGGATCGATTGAGAGATCGATAGTGAGGTCGATACGTAGTTTAATTGATGGCAAGCTCGATAGTCAGACCGATCGCGTGAAATCGAAAGTGAGATCGATAGTGTGATCCATCGTGATACTGATAGTGAGATCGACAGTGATATTGACTTGAGATCGATAGTGAGGTCGATAGTGAGGTCGACAGTGAGATCGATAGTGAGATCGATAGTAAGATCGATAGCAATATCGATCGTGAAATCGATTGTGAGATCGATGATGACATCGATAGTGAAAATCTCCTTATCAACAGACGGGTGGTCGCATACGTATATTCAGTATCGGCCACACATGTAAATCTAAATGCCTATATGTTTAGAACTACCTACCCACCCAACAGCAAGAAAACCGCGGGACAACCCACGGGACAACCTACGGGACAACCAGTATGGCAACACAGAAGATAGCAACGGGACAACCCACGAGACAATCACAGGAGAACCACTGGGACAACCCACCAGAAAACAGCAACAAAGACCACGAAAACACAGCGGGCAAGACGTTCCTTCAGGTGCACTGCGCACCGGCGAAGCACCTGCATGACCGGCTGACACGCAGGGCGGAGGCCAATGGAAAACGATCGAAACAGACGGATGATATGGGCCGGACGCAAACACACATGACTCCTCTTCAGCCCCTTAGACATGCTATTCGTATCAGGATCCTCTTCGCGCTCAAGATTCTCGATGGTCGTCACGTTATCCAGAGCCAACTTCATGTGAAACTTGATGAAATTGGTCAACGTGCAAACCAACAAAACAGACCTTCCCTCCTCTTCGCCTAATGACATCCGCCCTCGCCTTGGCCTGCTACATGCGCTTGCACACATGATCCTCTCCGGGCGGGGGGACATGCGAAGCACGCCCACACATACCGTGCCATCGACCCGACGATGACAAGATGAATAGACAACGGCGAAAACATGAAACAGCGAAAGAGACGACACGGCGAGCTCGTTGCGCAATCGTGCAACAAGGAGACGCCATCCAAAGCGAAGGCAACGACACGAGCATACACGCAATACGAAGCATCGACCTGCAGTGTGTACCTGTTTGCTCATCATTGTTTGCTCCTTGCTTGCATCAGGATGTGTTCCAGTCGTCTGTGCGCGTGTGCAGAAACAAACTTCCTTCCTCCAACTATAAGACTTGATCGATGCGATGCTCTAGAACACCACCCTGAGCATATCGAATCCCAGAGGGGCATGAAAAGCCACCTGGGAACACTCCAACGCTCGTCCATCCAAGGCACCAACTCCCAGACTTTCAAAAATATTGTCTACAGAATTGTTCCGCTGCTCTCTTTCCGACTTGGCTGTGCGCTCCTTACTTCCACAACCTCCACGCTGCATTCATGCATTTCAAAACACTGGGCCCTGGTGTTTCGATCTGAGGCCCCGCTGAAAAAAGGCGGGCCGACCATCCTTGCGTAAGGAGGGCTCTTCCTGGTATTCGCTCGTATCGAAATTATGTTAGAGGTGTAGGACACCCCAGGATGCCCACCCAAGGGGCGCGACGCTAAACTATCGAGGGTGTTCCCTCCCAGCGTCGACATAAGAAAACACGCATGCCGACATGAAACATGAAAGAGGCACCACTCGTGAAGGGGGGGGCGGCACCACTCGTGAAGGGGGGGGCGTGTGCGATGCAAAACGTGGCATACTACAGTGCACCTGGAAGGTCGGTGGCAACTGCGTGCGCTGCACTCTGTGATACAATTGTGGTACTTCCGTCGACGCCCACAGAGTTTGCGAGGGATGCGCTGTGACGCGGCAAGGCTGTGGCGCTATGGCGAAAGACCCTTTCCTGCTATTCGTCCCGAGTAGTCGTTGCTGACGGTGCCAGGGGAACCCCGGGGGCCCCAGGGCACGGAACGACCTCAGTACGCCGACACGACGCCGATGAGTCAGGCGAAATCTTCGGTCGCCAGAAGGTCTGGGGAAGAAGATGGCGAGGAGCTGCGAGCCACGTGGAACGCCGCGACGGGGCTGCAAGGAGGGGCCGAGGCACGCAGGATACGACCATCAGCGGGACGCGCCTGGGGAAAGTTGAGCACAGGAGACGAATCGCCCTCTTACTCGAGGGCGGCGACGAAGAGGGCATGCTTCCAGCCAGCGCGGCGATGGCGGAAGAGGAAGAGCGGGAAGAGGACACTTCTGACCGACAACGAAAAGCACGGTGGCGGGATGGGCCGAAGGCCACTAGACCTGCTTGGCACGGGGACGGAAAGCGCACTTACTTTCAGAGCGCACGGGATCGCTGGCTCGTCCGCTCTTACACCTCTTATTGACTCCCTTCCCCTCGCTCTTGTCCTATCTCAGCCTCGGAGAGTCGCGGAGCCTTCTTTGAGCGCGTTTCTTGTTTTGGAGGGGGCGGTCGGGTCGCGTTGCGTTTTCCGCGTTTGGGCTGGCAGCTTTCCAAAACCCCGCGTTTTCCTTGCGTGGACCGCTCGTTGTCCACGCGTTGCCGCCCGTCCCTGTGCCCTGGCGTCAAGAACTTATTACGCCGCAGCTCTCTGTTGGGAACTTTGGTCTTATCAGCTCGATTACGTCACCGCTCGCTCTTGGGAGCCGCGGTGCTAAGAGCCTTTGGGGGTATTTGGGCCTGTTGGGGGGCTCTTGGGGAGCCCCTTGGGTGCCTCTTGGGGACCTGTTGGGGCTTTTCGGGGGCCTCTGGGGGCCTCCTGGGAGCTTCTGGGCTGCGGGGGTGAAGGGACCAGGCTGCCTTTGGCAGTCTTTGGGCTCTCTTGGGGGCCTTTCAGGGTCTTCTTGGGGCCGTCCTGGGGCCTTCTTGGGCAGTCTTGGCGCCTCTTGGGCCGTCTTGGCACCCTCTTGGGCCGTTTTGGGGCCCTCTTGGGGGCCTCTTGGGCATTCTTGGGGCACTCTTGGGGGCCTCTTGGACAGTCTTGGACGCCTCTTGGCCCGTCTTGGCGCCCTCTTGGGCTATTTTGGGGGCCTCTTGGCAACATCTTGGCCTCTTGGACCGTCTTCAACGCCATGAAAGGCGAAAATCCGTATATGCTAAAAATGCACGTTTTCCATAAGAAAATCAATGATTTTGGCCTCTTGGGGCCCTCTTGGGACGCCTCGTGTGCGCCTCCGGGGGCGTCGTGGAGGCCTCTTGGGCCGTCTTGGGGCCGTCTTGGGCGGTCTTGGGCTCTCTTGGAGCGCTCTTGGGCCGTCTTGGGCGCTTCTTGGGCAGTCTTTGGCCGTCTTGGGCGCCGTCTTGGCCGCTTCCTGGGCTGTCTTAGGCGCCTAAGACTGCCCAAGAAGCGCCCAAGAAGCGTTCTCCGATGATGTCTCGAGCGAAACGCTGTTTTGAAGCCCGGAAGGCCGTCCTACTCGATAAAAAACGAGGCGGGAGGGCAATTAGACCTGCTTGGCACGGGGACGGAAAGCGCACTTACTTTCAGAACGCACGAGATCGCTGGCTCGTCCGCTCTTACACCTCTTATTGACTCCCTTCCCTCGCTCTTGTCATATCTCAGCCTCGGAGAGTCGCGGAGCTTTCTTTGAGCGCGTTTCTTGTTTTGGAGGGGGCGGTCGGGTCGCGTTGCGTTTTCCGCGTTTGGGCTGCCAGCTTTCCAGAACCCCGCGTTTTCCTTGCGTGGACCGCTCGTTGTCCACGCGTTGCCGCCCGTCCCTGTGCCTTGGCGTCAAGAACTTATTACGCCGCAGCTCTCTGTTGGGAGCTTTGGTCTTATCAGCTCGATTACGTCACCGCTCGCTCTTGGGAGCCGCGGTGCTAAGAGCCTTTCGGAGTATTTTGGGCCTGTTGGGGGGCTCTTGGGGAGCGTCTTGGGTGCCTCTTGGTGACCTTTTGGTGCTTTTCGGGGGCCTCTTGGGGCCTCCTGGGAGCTTCTGGGCTGCGGGGGTGAAGGGACTAGGCTGCCTTTGGCCGTCTTTGGGCTCTCTTTGGGGCCTTTGGGGGCCTTCTTGGGGCCGTCCTGGCGCCGTCTTGGGCCGTCTTGGCGCCTCTTGGGCCGTCTTGGCGCCCTCTTGGGCCGTTTTGGGGCCTTCTTGGGGGCCTCTTGGGCCTTCTTGGGGCGCTCTTGGGGGCCTCTTGGACAGTCTTGGACGCCTCTTGGCCCGTCTTGGCGCCCTCTTGGGCTATTTTGGGGGCCTCTTGGGATCATCTTGGGCCGTCTTGGGGCGGTCTTGGGGGCATCTTGGGCCGTCTTCAACGCCAAGGCGAAAAGAGCCGTATATGCTAAAAATGTAAGTTTTCCTTCAGAAAATCAATGATTTTGGCCTCTTGGGGCCCTCTTGGGACGCCTCGTGGGCGCCTCCTGGCGCGTCGTTTGGGGCTTCTCGGGGGCCTCTTGGGGCCTCCTGGGAGCTTCTGGGTGGCCGGGGTGAAGGGACTAGGCTGCCTTTGGCCGTCTTTGGGATCTCTTGGAGGCCTCTTGGGGCCTTCTTGGGGCCGCCCTGGGGCTGTCTTGGGCAGTCTTGGCGCCTCTTGGGCCGTCTTGGCGCCCTCTTGGGCAGTTTTGGGGCCCTCTTGGGGGCCTCTTGGGCATTCTTGGGGCGTTCTTGGGGGCCTCTTGGGCAGTCTTGGACGCCTCTTGGCCCGTCTTGGAGCCCTCTTGGGCTATTTTGGGGGCCTCTTGGCAACATCTTGGGCCGGTCTTGGGGGCCTCTTGGGCCGTCTTCAACGCCATTAAAGGCGAAAAACCGTATATGCTAAAAATGCACGTTTTCCATTAGAAAATCAATGATTTTGGCCTCTTGGGGCCCTCTTGGGACGCCTCATGGGCGCCTCCTGGGGCGTCGTGGAGGCCTCTTGGGACGTCTTGGGGCCGTCTTGGGCGGTCTTGGGCTCTCTTGGAGCGCTCTTGGGCCGTCTTGGGCGCCGTCTTGGCCGCTTCTTGGGCTGTCTTAGGCGCCTAAGACGGCCCAAGAAGTGCCCAAGAAGCGTTCTCCGATGATGCCTCGAGCAAAACGCTGTTTTTAAACCCCGAAGGCCGTCCTACTCGATAAAAAACGAAGCGGGAGGGCAATTAGATCTCGGGCCCCCCGATGCCAACCCCCTCGAACTCCCCCAAGTCCAATTTTTTCCGACTCACGGACCGCACGCTAACGCGCGCTTTCCGTCATCCGGGGCTCGCGATGCCAACCCCCTCGAACTCCCCCAAATCCAATTTCTTCCGACCAACGGACCGCACGCCAACGCGCGCTTTCCGTCATCCGCCGCCCCCTGTCGATTTATCGCAGGGGTGCCTGGCGTGCTGGACTTCTTCTTACGTTTTGGTTTTGGTTCTTTTTCCAAACGAACTCCCCCTGGGGCTTCGGCCCGTCCCGCCGGCCACCCGTAAAGCGCTCAATTCCCAAATTTCCTGCCCCCAAAAACGGCCGTCTCGCTCGGTACATCCTCAAAAAATCGCGAAGATGGCCCAAGATGGCCTCCAAGTCCGCCCAAGATGGTCCAAGACGGCCTCCAAGACGGCCCAAGAGAGTCCAAGACGGCCCAAGACGGCCCAAGAGGCCCTTCCGAGGCCTCCAAGACGGCCCAAGAGGCCTCCAAGAGGTCCTCCAGGAGGGCCCGAAGATGCCAAAATCATTGATGTTCCTTAGGTTTTTGAAGGATTTTGGAATTTGCTTCTTCTCGGCATTCCGACGGTTCAAGACGGCCCAAGAGGCCCCCAAGCTCGCCCAAGAGGTCCCCAAGAGGGCTCCATGACGGCCCAAGTGGCCTCCAAGATGGCCCCAAGAGGGCCCCAAGACGGCCCAAGAGGCTTCCAACACGCCCAAGATGGCCTCCAAGAC